GCGCATAGCATACAAGTATAGACTAGATCGCCTGAATTGCAACAAAACAATTCAATGTTTGTTTTCGAAAATGGTTTGAATTTGCCACCCTCAAGTGGGCTTAAAACATGATGATTTGCCACTCCAAGTTGGCTTAAAACTCACATTTTGATGAATTGTTCCAATTCAAGTAATGAAGCCTTCATCCAAAGGCATTCATGCAGTTATAGCAATTAAGCAAATAGCCTCATGGCAAGCATGCTATCATGGCAACACTTACACACATGCAAGGATGCTAAAGGGTAAACACTTACAGTGTACTTCGAGTCAAAACAAAAGTTAGTTAGAAATCATGCATGATCCTAGCTATGTTAAAATGCCTAATGCAACACATGTAAAATGCAACTACGTAGGCTCGGCTACCTAATCATGACATATGAATGTGACATTTGATACATGTGTTCAAATCAGTATTGAAATACAATGCAGTTTGAATGATATGCCGAGCCTGGTGCATGCAAAAACAAATGAATGAATGCAAACATGCAAGCATAAGGTATGTTAATCGAAATATGCCATAAACTAACCATCAAAAGCTGATAAGTAAAAGGGAGAAAGAAATGGGGTTGGAAGACACACACACGCACCCTTATTACAACATTATGCCTCTCGACGAAGGGTCCGAATAAACAAACTAACTAGCTACGCTAAGCTAATTAGAATATTACAAACCAACTAATTAACTATGCTAAGCTAATTAATTACAAACCAAATTGAAACTAGCTATGCTAAGCTAATTAGAATATTACAAAGATGAATTAAATGAGCTAAGCACATTAACTAATTAATTAGAAAAACCGGCAAATTAACTAACTAAGTAAAGGAGTTAAAATGGCCTCGAGGGGAGGGAGACATGCATGCTCAGTTTGCTTCGCCAGGAAATGCATTACTTTGCCTTGAGTTGTCTCTGTTTGCACTCGCGGTGATCTCATAGCATCATACACACTTCCAGGTTGCATCTGCCCCAAAACAGGAACATTTTGGAAAATTTTTCCACAGGTGGCCGGCCGGCCACCTCAACTGGTCGGCAGGCTACCTCAATTGGCCGGCCGGCCAGCGTAAGTGGTCGGCAGGCTAGTGCAAGTGGCCGGCCGGCCACTTCCCTTTCCAGAATCCCAATTTTGCTGCAACAGAGATCAACAAAGGCACAGCAATGCATTTGCATGGAAATGTGTGTGCAACTACTCCCCTTATCATTTCTCAAGCTCAAAGGAGCGTAGTGCTCGGCTCTCAAGCCACCAATCACGCATCTCAATGCATGATGGCCAAAGAGTTAAGCTTGCACAATGTTAGTGAATGCACAAACAAGACTCGAAGAGCCTCCACCCTATCATGCATGATCAAGGGTGTCGGCGACCGAGAAACGCAACACGTTTCATCACTTCGAGTATGAAACGTGCCACATTCCTTGTGTTTGAATTAACGTTTGATCCAAACACATTGCAATGCAAACAACATGCTCATCTTTCAATACTAAAGTGGCATGCACAAGACTCTATCATGTAAGCAATGCATGCAAGACATGTTAAGGGGCCAAGAGCACAAAAGCTAGTGAAGAACATTACACATGAGGCATGCACTATCGATCTCAAATGGTCAAACCAGCTATGTACAGACCTAAGATACTCCAAAACAGTGGCCAAAACACACTAAAACTTAGGCACAAAAAGCAAGAAATGCATGCTCATTTATTTGCTCGCAAGCAAGGCACAAATCTTAACTTTCAAACACATTGACAGAGTGATATATATGAGAGCATGGCAGAGGTACAAGCACTGAAATCATGTGCCAAATGATGACATATCATGCAAACAACACAAGTATAGCATGTTAGACGACTTAAGCATTAAAACTAGTGAAGTACACAACACTAGGACTATGTAATACAATGCTCAATGGACTAAATCAGCCCTAAATAGACCTCATGCATGCCAAGACAGTGGCCAAAACGCTCGGAAATGATAACACGAAAGGCAATAAAATGATGTTCATGCATTGGCTCATCAACAAGGCATGAGACGCAACTCTTAAACACAATTAAGGAGTGATATACATGAGAGTATGACAAGGCTATATACTCTGGAATTATGTGTTAGATGATGACATATCATGCAAACAACACAAATAAGGCATGCTAGAAGGCTTAAAGCACAAGACTAGTAAAGAGCACTACACAAGGAGCATGCAATGCATAGCCTAAACAACCAAACCAGCTTTGGACAGAGCTCAATTATGCCAAAACAAAGGTTAAAACATGCTGAAACGGTAGCCCAAAAGCTTAGATAAGCATGCATACGTATTGGCTCATGATCAAGGCACAAAGCACAACCCACAAAAGCTATGAAAGAGTGGAATATGTGAGAGCGTGACTATGCTATATACACTGAAATCATGTGAGAAATGGGGCTAAGGCATGCAAACACCACATGCATAACATGTTAAAGGCCTCAAAACTGAAAGCTAGTCAAGGCCCTTTACACTACAACCATACTAAGCAATGCTCAAATGACCTTAACCACTCAAAATAGACCTAAGGCAGGTCGAAACAGTAGCAAAAACATGCTAGACTTGCAGCATAGATGGCAAGAAAAATAAGCTCATGTATTGGCTCACAAACAAGACATGGTGCTCAACTTCTCAAAAGCATTGGAAGAGTGATACATATGAGAGTATGACAGTGATATATGCTCTAAAATCACATATCAAATGATGGAAAATCATGCAAACAACCCAAGCAAAGCATGCTAGAGGACTCAAAACACAAAGCTATCAAAGCCTATCATGCTATAGCCATACAAAGCAAGCCTCAAAGGGCCAAGACCACTCAAAATAGAGTTCAAGCATGCTAAAATATGAGCAAAAACATGCTGGGGTGTAGCCAAAATATGCTAGCATAACGGACTAAAGTAGCAAGCATGCAAAGCTAGTGAGCAAGGTTACACTACAAGTGTAAGAAGCGATTATGACTTTGGATTTTGTTTTTGGCTTCTTTTTTTTTTTGTCGTTATAAACTAGATTTTGTTAAACTATAAAACAAGACCAAATTTTATGTTTTTGAGTTCTTATAATGATTTCTTTAATTCTAATGTACGGAAACAAATTTTAGCATATAATTTAAGTAATTATATATACAAGTAGATTTTATGTGGATGTGAGTACTTGTTATTTACTCACAATTTTTTCATTTTTTTTTTAATATGTATGAAGAATCCATCATAAAAGTTTGCTTACGAACCAAAAAGCTCATGCTGACACTACCCATGTTGCTGGCACTACCCATGTTGCATCCCACTTTTTGATCAAGTTGACATTTTGACATTAGTTGATCTCATTTTTCATATCAAGTAAATGGACAGAAGGTTCATACCATGTAACTCAACTTTTGGAAAACATTTGATGAATAATAAGTATTTTGAAAGTTGTGAGACCTTCATACAAAATCAAACTAAATCTAAATCAAATTAGTCTTATGTTCCAATCAAGTAGGATCGACTACATAAATCTTCTTTAATAGGGATTTTTGTGTTGATGTAGGTTACTTAACAATTTAGTTGTATTCTCAGGTTACTTGGTAGATTAAATCAGTGAAAAGGAAGATTTTATATTTAGCATTTTTTTACATCATTTTACTTAATTAGAGGGCCAAAATAATATGAATAATTAGTGTAACATGGAACTATAAGAACTTATCAAAGGATAGGTCCTAACGTAAGTTTGTTAACTCACATTAAAAACTGTTTGGGAGATTAAAAGCCTTTTTAAATTATCATCTATTGTCAGATGGCTTCACCCTTATATTTAAGATGCGCAAGGGTGTCAAAGGTGTGTTCAGCTGTTAGGTAATTTTAATTTTTTTTAATTTTAATTTTAATTTTATTTATTTTATTTTATTTTATTTAATTTTTTTTTGTCAATCTTCAAAACATCATCTTTCATTCTATGCATCCAATCTCTAAATTTGATATTTATGAAATTTATTTATCGAGATCAAACAAATAAGATCCATATTGAATAAGAAATTATATAAAAATAGAAATAAAAACTAAAACTGAGAAATTACTCAAAACTATGAAATTTCTCAATTCAAATTAAAACAGTGAAACTTTTCAATTGCAAAACATGAGAAATTTCTCAAAACTACTAAACTTCCTCCAATTCACAATTTTTCGCAGTTGACAAGAAAAAAATGGGTCGAACACCACTCGATAAGTCTCCAGTATCTCATCCAATGCTTTGCTAACTTCATCCCATGAGTAAAGACTGTTAGATTTGAGTTTGTTCAGCTTATCAACAATCTGTGGCGGCACGTGTATGGGCTTTTCTTGGTGTTGCTCATGTAGGCTCTTGTATGGCGTTAGTGACGAAAACGACTGGATGACAATATATGATATGCATCAATTACCTCAATTTGTTTAGGACATGATGGCAAAGGTATTCAATATGCTAGTTTACCTAAAAAACACAGTTCTCACGATATGCACATCATGACAACATAATGTGCTAGTTGTGCAGTAGACGATAAGCATCAGCAACTACCTTAATTGGTTTTAGGACAAGATGGGAAAGTTATTCAATGTGCTAGTTCATCATAACAACACAAATCTCGCAAACCTTACAAGATTCCAATTACGATAGCCAACTAGCAAGGTTGTTAGTGACTAAGGGTTGTTTGGTGCAGGTTATCTAAGCTGCTTATATCTTTTGGTGCAACTTCTACTTACAACTTATGTAACAACTCAAACTCGGCAACGCAACCCCCGCCAAGAGGGCACACTCCAATGCTATAATGCCTGTACACAATAATCACATGTTTAATTCTTATATCACATCACCAATAGTGCATAAGACCCTTCGATTGGCCAACATATATGAGATGATCCATTCAAAGACAAAAATATCATCATGTTACTAAGATAGTTCCCATGCACTACTACCCTCCAAAATAAATCATACTATTCGTGAATCCATCAATACATCCAACTTCACAAGCAAATATTTACAATCAACCTACTTCATAAAACAAAGGATAAAACTACACACTAGAGTGACCCTAAGCAAAACCTCAACTACCAGATGTTCACATTTAATCCTCCAGAAACTCTAATCTTCCAAGTTGAGACGAGCCACACAAAAGTCTAGAAATCTGGAAAAAAAAAAATTAATTAAAAAAAAAATGAGCTAGTGCCCAATGAGTATACCAATCCCATGGAGTTATAAAGCTTGCTCCTTCCAATTAGGTTCAAAATAAGATAATAAACATAAGAGCTTAATTGGGCTGAAATTTTTAAAAATTGAGAAAATTTTGCATAAACCGTTGTCAAGATTTTTTCAAAGAATCTCATAATGCAGGAAAAATACATTTGAATAAGGAAAGTAAACAAAAATACAACTTTTCAATACCTTAAGATTTCATGTCCATCATACGAACCACTACATAGCCTTAGGGTCGCGTTACCTTGCGACTTAGGTGGTGATGGTACCGTTACCCAAAACATAATCATAGGAACATAACTCATGTCATCGTAGCACTTCAATTCTCATTTCAATGTTTCGATCCCTAGGACCCCTTATGTACAACGACCCTTATGGTCCTTAAAACATTTCGGTCCCCAGGACCCCAAAGCATTTCGGCCCTTGTGGCCCCAAAGGCTATATTCGATTATATGAACAATAAAGATAAATACTCTTGCATGACGTTTCATTGTCATTTAATCATCATCATCATAAACTTTGAAGGACTTAACTTAAATAAATTCTCATAAAAAAAATTAGTGCTTCATTATACAAATGAAATCATATATTTATTTAAGCTTAACATTTGACCTCAATAAATTTATAGATTTTCTTCTTATACAAATATCATGATGAAATGTGTTACTTCCTTTAATTCAAAAAATATTTTCAAACTTTATATTAAAGATAGAGATAAGGTAAATATCCATGGTAAGTATACTCACCTTCAAAAATAGCAAAAACGTATATTTGAAACCCTACGAATTAATTCCCAAGAGGTGTAGAGACGCCTTCCTTCAACCCTAACAATTAGTAAATAGGATCTAAAATTAAGAAAAAGCTTTCAATGAAAATTACAACATCCACAGAATTGATCCTAAATAAGACGTGCTATGGAATGACAAGCTAAAGAACTCCTCCAACTTCTAGTCACCCAAACAAACAACTTACCCAATCTCCACAACACCCATTTTTTGTACATTTTTGAGTTATTAACCTTTTTAAATATCCAACCAATTTATATGCACAATACCACCATCAATTAAACAACAAAAGTCAAAAATCAACATTTTCATAAACCCAACAACTTAGGTAAAACCACTTCAATCATTAATAAAATTCCTCCAAAATCGTTTATATATTTTCAAACTTTGTATTAAAGATAGAGATAAGGTAAATTTCCATGGTGTGTATACTCACCTCCAAAAATAACAAAAGCGTATATTTGAAACCCTACGAATTAATTCCCAAGAGGTGTAGAGACGCCTTCCTTCAACCCTAACAATTAGTAAATAGGATATAATATTAAGGAAAAACTTTCAATGAAAATTACAACATCTACAGAATTGATCCTAAATAAGACGTGCTATGGAATGACAAGCTAAAAAACTACTCCAACTTCTAGTCACCCAAACTAACAACTTACCCAATCTCCACAACACCCATCCTTTGTACATTTTTGAGTTATTAACCTTTTTAAATATCCAACCAATTTATATGCACAATACCACCATCAATTAAACAACAAAAGTCAAAAATCAACATTTTCATAAACCCAACAACTTAGGTAAAACCACTTCAATCATGAATAAAATTCCTCTAAAATCGTTTATTGAACATAGAGATACCCAATCCACCATTTATCAAATCAATTTCAACATATAAATTTCCTAACACCAAAATCACCAATTTTTGTATCACATTCAAACCTAGATTAACTCAAATCTCAATCTCCAAAACGACCATCAAATTGATCAGTAAACCAATAATTTCATGAATATAATAATTCCAACACTCTTCTTTCTTTATTTTATAAAACATAAATTTAAGCTATAAAGCCCTTTCAAAAATATTTACATGTAAGAAATTTAAATCAAGATCAAACTAATTTTTGATTCTCAAATATAACTTATAATTTATATTCAAATTTGTCCAAATTTAGATTTAATTTATTTTCTCCATATTAGACCCAAATTCAAATCCATAAGCCTTTTAAACATGAATTAAAATCTCAAACCCTTGAAATTTTATAATGCATGTTTAATTAAAGTATTAATCTTCTAGAGTTTGCCCATGCATGTAACAATGAGGCTTAATTTCATGCAAGATCACAACATTAAACCCAAAACAATTAATTTCCATAACCATGAACCTAACTTAATATCTTCATCTTTGTTTTCTAATTTCTTCCAAATTATATGAAATTGAATTCAAACTCATCATTAATTTCAAGTGTAATACATGAATTCTTCAAAAATCAAGATTGAAATCCCTACCTTTAATCTTTAATTGATAGCTTCTTGATGATCTTGCATTTTCCTTTCTTGAATTTCTTTCAAACCCACCAGCACAAAGCTTTCTCTCTCTCTCTCTCTCTCTCTAACTCACGGTTTTACCCAGCACAAAGAAAGGAAGAAGTTGCCTACTCTCTCTCCTTATATTCACACTTATACACATACACCCACAGCTTTCTCTGCACACACAGATTTCTCTGCACACCCACCTCCAAATACACCCTCAATTTTAGATTATTCTACAATTTAATGTATGATCAAAATTAATTTAATTAAGCAACAATTAGTCTTAATAAATCTTGATTAACACATAATTAAATCAATCATGACTAATCACAAATCCCACTTAATTTAATTGGTCTAATTTGAATTCCTTTAAAGCCCAATTAATTATATTTAAATTTATCAATCTGAGTCAGATTTTTAATCAAACTCCCAAAAGCTCCAAATATTAAATTAAATTTATTGTCATCATCAATTTTGATTTCTCAAATCATTAGGCCTTCAATTTCTGATCAGACTCTAAATTTCCGTCAATTAAATTACATATTCAAATTAGACACCCCATAAGTTAATTTAATTCGTAATAATAACAATTCTCAATCTTCATAATTTAATTAACTTAATTAACTCCAATTCGGACCTAATTAATCGAATCTCAATTTTACAAAACTGAATCGAATATTTAATTAAACTCCCAAATGGGTCCGTAATTAAAATTAAATTGATTCAACTTTTTAATTTCACTTCCTTAAGTCATTTGGACCCTTAATTTTTAATTTTAAAATAAATCTTTAATAGAATCATATATGAATCAGATTCCACAATTCTCATAAATCCTAAATTAAATTAGGATAACGACTAATTAAAATCTCAAATCTCCTTAATTAACCAAATAAAATATTATTCGTGGCGGGGTCATCACAACTTATAAGGTAGAAATAACTTGAATAAGCTAAAAAAAGTTGATTATCTAGAAGTTCGGAGAAGGGTGCTTTTGACTTTCTATTTTCTAATTATCAACTGTTAACTTATAATAAACTGTACCAAACAGGCCATAAGGAATTTAATAGGTGAGGGACTGCCTTTTGTCAACTTGGAATGAAGGGATCAAAACAAGGTAATACACAATATACCAATGAGTATTTTGGTCATTTGGTTACACTTGGGACTTCACAAAGCTAAAAACTTGAGGTGAAACTTAAGCCTCGTTTGGAAACTTAACTATTTTAGTTGACTTTTTAGCCATTTTTTAAGATTAAAAAAAAACATTGAGTTTGGAATGATTTGTAGATTTTTTTTTTTTGATAGTTGAATAGATGATTGTGAGAAAAAAAAGTGATTGATTGATGTGTAGGATGTAACATTTTGTCTAATTGACTATTTTAACTTTTTTTTTCTTGTATTGGCTATTTTAGCCAAAAAAGTTGTTCCGAAATAGGGCCTTAATGTTATATAAGTACATTATATAAGACCTTCCTTTAAAATCCCAAAAAAACACATTAAAAAATGTCAATATTCACAGTTGTGTTTTTCTCCTTTTAACCTCTCACAAGATGAGTTTGAATACCATTACTAGAAAAAAATAGTACCTATAAGATAAAGTGCGATACAGGCCATTCCATGTACCATATTGCTTTGTCATATAAAATGGCAACATTGGCGGCCAAAGGGTTGCAAGAGCAAGACAAGAAATCAATCAATCTACCACAAATTCCTTTATTTTAATAGATATCCTTTTTTTCCAACCTAGAATCAAATCTATGCCTTTATGTTGGGTGTCTTTTATTTATCCTAGTTATCAAACGAAGACGTGTCTTGTTGTCTGCATCTACTACTTCTACCACAAGAACACATTCTCCAGAGGGGGCCCTCTTCCTTAGGAGTCATTTCTATTAGCAATGGATTGCCTTCTTGAGATTGTTAGCAGTCTCGACATTCCTTTGCTTTACCAGCACGATGTCGTCAAATAAAAGGAAATGTCTTTTCTTGCCATTCTCCATTCTCAAACTTCTTCTTGTGAGGGCCTGAGCCATGGAATTGGATAACAAAACTTTTCTTAGACATTGTTTTTCTTCTTCCTAAGCGTACGCCTCAAGGTGAGACAAAAGAGAAAAAACGGGAAGGCCTTCTTATTTTGAGGAGAGTACCAAGTAATAAAGAGCTTGCTAGTGAAGGTCTTAGAGCAAGGAGAATAGAACAATCAACAAAAGAGAAGAGAAGAGGTCCATGATCACAGATGTAAGAAGGTGAATCAGTAATCACTCATGCCACAACTAATGCTAATGAATCCTCCTACAATAACAAGGCAAGTTAAAAAGAAGAGATATTGATGAGTCAGAGTACTTCCCTGGTAGAGCAAGTAGAGCACTACCTAAACTAAACATTAGAGGTGTTTTTGCTCCATTCACTTCCGTTTCAAAGTTAAGGACAAGCACCCCTACAGACTAACTCCCAACTCATGGAGATGACTCCGCCTTACATCATCATCTAGAAGCTCAAACATGCCAACAGCATTTCGTTCATTTACGCAATATTTACTCGTTTACTTGTTAGCAACCTCTGTTCCACACCCTCGCTTTCAAGGAATCTAAGGAAAGAACGTAATAAGTGGTGAACAAAGTTTACTCACTCCTTAGAGGAAATAAAAATTACCTCTACCACCAAGAGAGGAAGTGAATAGTTGGCTCGACGAGGGAAGAGATGCGCCTACTTACTTTGCTAGAAAGTTAAGTGACTAGTTTACTGTTCAGAGGTAAAAAAATAAAAAAATAAAAATATAAAAAAAATGCTATAGAGGGCTTAAGTGCTAGCTAGTGTTACAGAGCTTGTTGGATGACGGCAGAGCGAGCAGACTAGACTAACTCTCACTTCTGTATTCCATTTTACAGAAGGCAAATGGCTGGCTTGTTTGTCTAGTCCCACATCTTCATCCTAAGCTCTTTTCATCCATACACAAGCATCCTCTTCTCTCTAACAAATAAGTCAACTACCCTATCTAATTAGCAAACCTAGAGTACATTAGTAGACTACTTTCTTTGTTAGATAATTGTACGGATAAAACTAAAATAAACCTTATCTCCCGGAAGTCTAGGTTGCTACTCTTCAAGTTAGAGAAGAACTTCCACAATTTGGGGACTGGCTTCCAGAGAATTCAGTCTCTTGGGCCAGGCTCTATTGAGCAGAGGATCACCTTTCTTTACTCGATGAGCAAGAAACAAGACACTTACACACTTAATTAGAGAGGTGAACCAGCATCAATTCTGAACCATAAACAAACCCTTACTTTTCATATGATTAGATTAGACCATAGTTAGATGAACCAAATTGATCCAAAACAGTCTGACTTGCATGTGTGTGATAGGGGCTTACTTTTGATAAACGAGTTAAAGATAGTGATGACTTGTCATCGCCTACTTGAAAGTCCTCACAAGTACCAGAAAGCTAGATGCTCTAGACTAAATTCATGAAAGAGCGAGCTCCGCTTTGAAAGGTCCTTTGAACTAAATACACAACCATAGCTCTCTTCTACCGCCAATACAAAAAGAGCCAACTTTACTGCTGAGTGCCTACAACGGGAGTATTAGACTTCAAAGCTTAAAAGAGCTTGACAGATGGATTCTTTTTTCCCAAGAGCTAAAGCACCCAAGCAACAAAAGGAATATTCTCTAAACCAATTGCGCTAGAAGTATAACTTCCTAAGAAATTGACATCTATCTTTTCCAAAAAAACAAAGTGGATTTCTTCACTAAGCAAAGCTACCCTCCCTAAGCTTTAAAAAATGGGACTAAACTAACAAACCTACCTCTTTCTAGAAGCGCTAGAACTTGAGTATTGAAACTGAACTACTAGCTTCCTTCGGTTCCTTCTCTAGTTTGGTTGCAGGTTCAACTCCATTGAAATCTTAACTTACAATCGTTCCTTCCTTCACTTACAAACCTAGAGGGCAAAATCATGATCCCATCCCTTCAACTATCAGTCCATTAACTAAGAAGGGGGCCCAGAACAAAAACATCACCATCTTCCCCAGAACCCTCTAGGTTGACACTTTTTAAAAGGGAAGTTGAATATTTGTTTTTCTTTGGCACCATTCCTGGTTCATACCAGGAGGTGTTCAGAAGTGTATAATCATTCTTGCACGATGCAGCCACAAAAGAAAAAAAGAAAAAAAAAATCCTATTTTTTAAGAAGAAACAAACTCTTTCTCATTTTATATTTTTTAAACATGCACCATCTTGAAAGTGAGGAGTTTGGCACGTTTGAAAACATATAGGCTGAATGCTAATTTTGTCACTGAAACCAAAGCCCAAGTAAGCCACCCGCCATTTTTTTTTTGACAAATAAAAAAGATTGCAATATTAAAAACTAAGAAGTTACATATTGGCGGTACTCAACACCCCTAACATCTTCAAATAATTGGAATGAAATACAACCCAGAATAATAGAAAAAACAGTGAAGGACCATTTTGGTTAAAACCTTCTATTGATAATATGCTGGCACACTTGTTTCCCTCATGATTGTTGTCCATAGACTATGACAATTTTTTGAGAGAATGATGCCAACCACAGACATATTCCAAATCCAGTTTGTTTTAAAAAAAATTAAATTAAATTAACAAACAAAAAGTCTAATTCCAAAACCCTCACACATCACAAAATTAGGTTCACCTAGATGAATCATGTTCCTCAAATCCAAACTATGAATCAGCTTTAACGTGTTACGGAAGAGCAAGAGTGAACCACAATATTTTATCTGCTCAGGACACACATCAATTTTGTGCTGTAACATTGTCAAACTTGACCCTCATATATGAAACTAGGTCACAATTTGACTAGACAAACCCTTCATCTGGTAAATCAAAATCTACTTAAAATGAAGTTTCTAGACCTCAAAACATTGAAGGAACCATCGCGACTTAAGCAACCAGGCTAGTTTCCATAACACCTGCAGAAAGAGGACTGTCTTACTAATACCCATACAATACAAGCTTACTACAAAATGTATTTAGGAGGCACCTACCAACTTGCAAGAGTAAAGCACAAAATTGAAGACAAAAAAAGGAAATAATTTGGAGGGAAATAAAATAAAAAGAACAAGAACTGAGGAGCCTCAAAATACATGCATGGTGTCTTTATATGCTTGAATAGACAAGTTGATATGATTGTTGCTATTGTCTCACCATAAGATTGCAATATGAACTCTGATACAATGTTGAATTATTGGTCATCAACTCATCTAAAAGCTTAGAGAGAGGGCTAACTTACTTTATCCTCAATGGTCCAATTATTCACAAAGTTTTCTACACAGACTCACATTCAAAATTTTGGTAGCCAAGAACATTAAACATCAAAGGAATGGGATCCGTACTTTAACTAAACATTATTGGATCAAGTCAACCAACATTCAAAGCTGAACATGCTTATATCTCATAATTCTTCATCATCAAAGACAACTATATTCCTTGGTGACTTTACATGTTCAGTAATGATAAACTTACTCTTAATTCTCCTGGTTGGCTGCAATATCTTTAAGCATTTCCTTCAACTCGCCAGTCTACATGACAAACCAAACCATTAAAGCAATGTATAATAGGCTAAAGAATAACAATTTTGGTATGCGAATACCTGGTGCATGTTGAGAATGATGTCTGATCTCCTAACAAACTCCCCCTTGATGAATATCTGTGGAAACGTGGGCCAGTTGCTGCAATGAAAGACCATGGGACAAATTGAAACAATTACAAACTAGACATTTGTTTATCAACATTTTGGACCCAAATGGTTGCTAAGTAAAGACCAACAACAACTCCACTTGAAAATGTTGTTTCTCAGTAATTTGCATCAATTAACCAGGAGTCATGGCAACTGAGCTTAATAGCTTATTCTCACAAATGATCCCAACAACATGTACGACGGGCAAACAGGCAACCTTGTCGATATATATATGACGCAACCCACATCCCGAAAAATTTAATCAAGACTTGGCTACATATGTAAAACAACAAATGAAGTACCATTAAAAAAAGAAGGGCAAATTATAAGGACCTTCCCTAACTATTTCCCAAATAACAACATGCCCAATGGTATGGAGAAATGAGACTGGCATCCCCTAATGCGCCTCAAAAGTTAACTCCATTAATAGAAAATGTGAAGTGATAAAAATGCCCTCTCTACGGGTGTAATTTTGGCCCCGCTCGAGTCAGCCAGCCGTCAAACTCCCGAAAAAAATCGGGTCAAGCCACATGTGCAAAATCTGGACCTAGTGGGTAATTGGGCCTGAGGAGGGCTTGATTTTTTTTAGTTTTTTTTTAAATAAAAAATACCTTAAAAATTAAGTTAGGCGTCGCACGGGCCGGGCCTCAGATTGGGCCAATGGGCCTTGGGCTAGGCCGGGCCAAAAAACCCATGGCCCATGCCCTAGCGCGAGGGGATATGGGCAGGCCTGGTCGGGCCTCGGGCCGACAAGCCATTTTTACAGCCTACCTCTCTCCATCTTTCTCACCTTCCTCCACCACACTCCTCTACCCTCTCCTCTACCCTACCTCATCCTCCAATTCCCCCTATAACAATCCAACACCGACCATTACCACCACACACAAAGAACAACAAAACCAAAAATCAATACAATACACAACAAAATCAAAACAATACACAACATAATCAGGCTAAAAAAAAAACTCTACCCTTGATTCATCAAACACCCTCTCCGTCCGCCCTAAATTAAGGGGATTTTTGGTGAAAAGCCCCTCCCATTGGGCCTATTTTGTGTGAAGCCCACGGAATTAAACAATGACTCCAAATGCCCCTCAATTAAAAAAATGTCATGAATTGACTGAAATGTCCTTCCATATAAGTGTGGAAATATGAAACAATTAACAGTAAAAATTTACTATCAATCAAAGTAAAATTTTACTATCACTATCAAAGTAAAATTTTACTGTCACCACAAGTCCAAAAGTCAATTTGTGTTGATAAAATTTTACTGTGGTTTAGTGTAACATTGTACTATATTTTAGAGTTAATTTTTACTATTAGGTTTGCCAAAGATTGACAACTCATACAGTGTGTCACCAACACAACTTGAGACATGAATGTAAAAGTAAAATTTTACTCTGCATAAAAGTAAAATTTTACTCTAAAATAAGAATAAAATGTTACTCTCTGAATCTAAGAGTAAAATGTTACACCCTGAATTTAAAAATAAAATTTTACTCTGAATAAGAGTAAAATGTTCCACTCTGAAACTAAAAGTAAAATTTTACTCTGTATAAAAGTAAAATTTTACTCTGAAAAACTAGTAAAATGTTAGACTCTGCACAAAAGTAAAATTTTACTCTGTATAAAAGTAAAATTTTACTCTGAAAAATGAGTAAAATGTTAGACTCTGAATCTAACAGTAAAATGTTACTTTGCACAAAAGTAAAAAAGCAGAGGCAGTGTTTGTGGCAACTGAAGTGTTTGGCAATGACCACCTCTTGACAGTAAAATTTTACTGTCATTCTAACACCATTGCCAAACACTTCAGTTGCCACAAACACTGCCTCTGCTTTTTTACTTTTGTGCAAAGTAACATTTTACTGTTAGATTCAGAGTCTAACATTTTACTCGTTTTTCAGAGTAAAATTTTACTTTTATACAGAGTAAAATTTTACTAT